GCGAGCACTATCAGGAACAAAAATATTTCCTTTAATAAAGATATGGACCCTATTTTCCATAGATATACGAACTGTATTATCGGTTACTTCGCAAAAGATGCAGGCGTGATTATGCTTCTGTTTTACAACATTCAATAGTAAACAGTTAAGATTATTTCTAATTGTTTCAAGTTCATTTGTAAGAGACTGATTACAATTAAAACAAATGCGAGTGTCATTTTTAATGTCTATATTCGGTAAGTTCATAACGTCACGGCGCGATATTGCAATCTCTTGTCTAGCTTCATCATCGCCTATTCAAGACATTTGCCTTGTATTACCCAAGAAATTACAAACAAAGCATCTACTTCTCCGAGCCATTACTATGTTAAAAAATAATAGGACGAATGAAAAAACCGTAGAAGATGCAACTTAATCACTTGCACTAGAAAAATGTGCCACACACGTTGAGATGTTTTTGTCTCAAAAACCTTTACGACATGTTGTCCACGACGAGAGGTTTTTGTTTCAAAACTGTTTACATATTGTTTGCATCTAGATGTTTTTGTTTCAAAACTGTTTACGACAAGATGCCCACGTCGATAGTAATTGTCACATACCATGCTATGCAATTTTATTAATAAAAACAAAAAAAGTTAGTATTCATAACTGCGTAAAATTTTTTGTTTAAAATTTTACAGTTTTCTTATTTCAAATGACTGTTCATAGCGAGTTACAGTGAGGCATTCTGGCACGCGTATCTATGAAATAATTGTCAGCGCAAGTGGTTAAAGTATCTAAATATTGATTTTTTGTCTTCAAAAATCCTATTGAAGTTAAACTACGAAATGTTTGCGTAGTATAAAAGGCTACTACACACTGGTTAAAGTTTTTGTCTTTTCAGTCAATATTTATTTTCATGTTCATTTACCCGAAAGGAAAGATTATCGAATCTTATTTTGTAATAATTCATGTATTCTTGAAAGTATTTTACAATACAACTTTGGTATTGTTCCAAGTTCCTTGCAGTTTATTGCTAAATTCATCGAAGTACACATTGTGCATGTCGTATCCAAGCTTATATTCAAGGTAAGCTGCAAAGAGATGATGACGATGAATTACAGATTGACTCTTCGTTGGTAGATAACAGCCTTATAAGACTAAGAGTTTATTCACGATTTCGGCATCGTACGAAACATCAGGTTTTTATTTCTTACATTCCCGAAAATGAACTGAAACTAGAGGAGGAAGTAATAAATGGTTACTACTGCACCTGTCAATCCGGTGCCAGAATATTGGGTACATGTGCACATATTGCAAGTGTTTTATGGTTTTTAGGATTTGCTCGTCATCAAAGGCATGACAAATATCCGGATAGCAGTCTTCTAAATACGACCAGCGATGCCGCTAATAGAGGGCATCAAGACAATATGAATGTTGAGATTGTTATGGATGAATAGTGAGAACTATAAAAACGGCTCTTTTCAGGACCACATGGTGTGCAAAAACCGATCGAGCAACCTCCTCGTGGTGCACACTGGGTAATACTAATGTCGACGGTGCTTCATGTTTGTACAATGCAAAAAAGAACCATTTTTTACCTTTTTGGCGTTTTTTTATTTTGACTCCTGGAGGGGAGTCAGAGGGTCAGGGGGTCAAGGGGTAATATTTAAGGGCCCACAGTACTACTATTGAGTTTTAAGGGGTCTGTTCCGATACGAGGTTGGTTTCGTATCTCGCGATCGCGTCGTGATATCCCGCACGGTGGTGCCCGTCTTCGAGATGGTAAGTCTCGAAGATACCTTCGATCTTGGTAAACGGTTAGTCGCGACGCGTTGTTTCAAGGAATTAACCTGGAAACAATGTTTCTAAGTTGTTACACAGCATGAACGTTAATGCTGACTAGCCGTACGTTAAGCCTTCGGTCCGAATGCTTGACTCGAAGGGGAAAAGTCGAAACGTTAAACGAATGAAAAAGGTACTCGAAGTGAACCGTGTGTCTAGAATAGCAGTGGAGATGTAAGTGCCTCGAATCGCTGATGGAAAGTGATTAGTCGGCGTTGTTCGAACTTCCTCGCGGCGTTGGAAGTATGGGGAAACACTATGATTGGTGATTTTTGGAAATCAAAAAACCCAATCAACGTGCCCCCTTAGGCATTGCCACCACCCTCTATGCGCCCTTGGCGCGCCTTCTTCTAGGAGAGAGTGGGGCGATACCTGGTTGTACGCGAATGTTTCGAAATCCGACAATGTCGCGGCTTTCCTCTGGGTTTTTCCGCTCGAAGGTCGAAGTCCCGTTTTCGACGTACCCTTCGGAAGACCGAGTTTATGACCGGCTGAGCTATTGAGAACGAAATGAACGTGAAATTCTAAGTTGATTATACGAAAAGTTAAATGATTATTGCCGGCAATGGAATAAAATGTCTTTTCTCAAAAATAGCTTTACGTCGCGGACCTATCATAAACTGACAACGAAATATTCGCGTATTGTGTTCCTTCGGACGGAACAGGTCAAATAAGTGGGCAGTGTACAATAGTGCTTTTTACACTCAAATATACTCACCGTGGTAGTCTAGAATAAGACGCACTATTATTGACTTTTGATCCCCCGTATCTCGGAAACTGTTCAATTTACGAGCTTGGGCCCATTGGAACTTTTCATCAAGGCATCATGAACTACATCATATCAAAAATTCAGCAAATTTAACCGGGGGCCATTTCCCATAAGATCTGTGCGGGGTTCTTTACTGCCGAATTATATGTGTGCGCGTGTGGCTATGAAGTGCGTTGGTTGGTGAAGAGGGAAGCAGGAGCCGTTCTATGACATTAGTATCTAAAAAACGTGTTGCATTGAGTTTAAACTGATTCATTATATATATTTTCAAACTTGGTCCTAAATATATTTTTTTTGTACGGTCACAGAAAGTGTAAATTATTCAACACCCATCACCAAAAATAATTTATAACCACACCTTCGTATTGGCTATTATCTTTCTCACTTGTTCCCTCTAAATTTTCTTCTATTTCTTCATCTTTTTCCAATTCTTCATCCTTATTCTTTATATTTAATTCTACAATTGCTAGATCCTCAAAATTTTCACATTCCTTTGTTTATCCTGTTAAACAAATTAATTATGTCTTATCTGTCTCTTTGTTACATGCATAGTAGTAATCAGAGTTAAGAAATGGTGCTTCTCATGTACAATCCAAGGATTAAAGACAGTCCTTGCACATTATTTACATGATAAGATGAAGCGTAATGGAAACTATGTTTCATTACAGTTTTTGCGAATATCTCGGAAACTAAGGCCAAACGGCAGTAATATGTATAGGTCATGATTCCGAATAATAAACTCTATTTAATAAGGTACCTATTTCGGTTACTTTTAAAGATAATACCTTCATCTTAGGCTCATTTTCAAACTGAGAAAATGTTTCTTCCAATGATATACTAAATATTTCGTTTTCTTAATAAACATAATGATAATCGACGTCGAAGTTCAAATTTGAGGTTATCTCCTCCCACCATTTACTGGCTTGCAAAAATTCAATTCAGTAACCAAAATATTATAGTCTAAGTAGTGACGGGTCGGTCGATTTCGTGAAATTTTCAAATATTTCGAAAACCATTAAGAGGCCTTTCTACTTTGTGGGATTTAATAAATCGATTTTTTTTGCGTTTTCTTTTAGTATGTAGTCTCGAAAATATATCTGCAAAATATTAAATTGAAATTCGGAAAATTAACGAAGTTATAGCCTGTTGAAATGTACCACGCGCAGGTATAACAACTGGACGTGAAACTTTAAAGGTGTTTTTCTCGAAACTACATGTTTCGGCACTGCGTAAACGATAACATAAAAACTATTCAAGATATCAACATCAAATTTATACAGTATCTTTAGAACTAGTCTCCCTATAGCATGAACTAGGATAATTGCGATATATGCAATACTTTCCCTTTTATTAACAAAAAAGCAACCGAATATATGAAAATATTCAGTATTTTTTCGTAAAATAGCTGCCATTTTGCCATTTTCCATTTTTTTGAAAAGATCCTAGTTCATGCTATAACCAAACTTATTTATATTAAGGATATCTTTGGTTTTTGTATTTCGGATAACTTGTTCGCAAAATACCACATACGCAGTTGGGCGCCGTTCGTAAAAATTGTTATTCGTTGATCAACAAAAACAGTGTAATCAATAGATATTATGCGTTGCAAAAATTTGTAAATATAGTTAAATATATACTAAATGTATTCACAAAAGCCGGAATTAATTCTTTAATAGCCCGCAAAAAAATCACAAAGAAACATGTATTTTTTGTGCCTTCAAAGTAGAATGACCCCTTAAAGTTAAACAGCTAAAATTTGAAATACTTTGCTTTTAAAGTTATTAATAAATATTGTAAATTGGGCAAAATTCAGTAAAAATGAATTTTTCACCTGTAAGATTTGCCGTGGAATCGCTCGTATGTGACCAACACTGTGATATCTAAATATCTGCCCTATGGTTTCAATATTATCACTTGAATGTAATATAATAAATACAGTGAACAAATGGATATATGCTCGAACTGATCTACAGTATAAATGCCTAGTGCTCATTCCCGCCACTGACAATGAAAGCAGATTCTCCTTGACACACTGCAAAGCTCGGCATAAATGCCAGGCTTGGGATCCCAATTTTCGGGCATATATTCAACTTTTACTGTACATATTACAAAATTAAACCTATGATACGGAAGCGGAAGTAAACTTTCGCATTGATTAAAATCTAGATGAATTGATGACGTATTTAAAATAAAATAGAAAAACAAGGTTTTTCATAAAAATACGTAAATTAGCACAAAAATAAAGAATACAATTATTCAACAAACATGCGTGTCAATAAGTAATTAATGATTAATTGTGAGTGCTTTAAAAAAGGTACATAAAAGACAAAACATTGTAAGCAATGACATTGAAATTGAATTCATTGATTGCCCTACAGTAGGTCTACTAATCCCATGCAAAATTTACCATTGGCAGATTGTGGCGGGTTTCCGGCCGGAAATAGCTCGAGCTGTGAGCGCTTCCCGTCATGGATCGGAGACCCGGCTCGACTTGCCCCTACATCGTGTCAGAAGGACAAACATTCAAGTATGCGAGAGAATACAGGGTATTCGGCATTTGTTCGGAAAAAATTTAATGGGAAATTCTAGAGGTCAAAATAAGACCAAAATCAAGAGTACTAATTTATTAATTGAGGCTTTATTAAAAAGTTGTTGACGTTTAAAGTTCCGCTTGTAGAACGGCAATCTACGAATAGCTGCGTGCGCGCAATAGTGGTTCTTACTCACAAAACTGTAAGGCTGTCGATACGTCAGTAAGTGGAGTTTCTCATGCTGAGTGAGGACCACTAAGACCGACCTGTCGCAACCGACAGATTACCGTTCTACAGGCGGAACTTGAAATATTAATTAACCAATTAGTATTCTTGATTTTCGTGTTATTTTGGCCTTTAGAATTTCCAATTAAATTTTTTCCGAGCAAATGTCGAATATCCTGTATACACAGAACAGTCGGACAGTGTGTGACAGAAGTGTGGTAAGTATAATAAATTTTTTATAAGTCCAAGTGTCATATACCCAGAGTGATATCAAACCCCTGTAAGCAGAAAATATTGCTCAAGTTGGTTTCTCTCTATCTGTGAATCATGTCAGGTACAACCTCATTTGTACCCTATTATTCTTTTCTTTTTAACAAATCGAGATTATGTAATTGTAAGTTACACTGAAATCACCGACAAAATAAACCATCTAGCAACACCCAGGCACTATCACAAGACAGATTAACTGGATCTTACTTACGGGGGCCGCAAATTCACATAAAAATGATAGAAAATTATTATATTTTCACAATCAGTCCATAATTTCATATTAACTATTAATATTTTGATCTACATTCCTAAAATAAACCCGGATCTGCTAGTTGGATTTATTGCTAATTATCAAGTAAATAGAGACTATTCTCGCAACGAATCCTTTATTGCACAGTGTCATTAGTTAAAAATCCGATAAAAACAGTCCCTGTAAAGTTTGCTGGCAAAGATTTATGAGATTTGTGCATGACGTTTTTTTATGATTTTTATGATTAGTTCTCAAGGTTTAACTACTTATTATTTAATTTGAATATTAATTAATTCATGGATGTATTAATAACCGAAAAATAATTATATATTTGATAAATAATATAAAATTCATGTAATGGAGAGTTAAATAGCGTCACATCTAGGACACAATCAAATAGATAAGTCTTATTAATGAGTTCAACTAACACATCTGATTAAATTGCTCTTTGTACTAAAAATATTACTTATTAGATAAAAACAAGTTTGCTATCTCCCGGAGGCCTTTAAAAGATAAATGACGTGAGTCACTTACAATTTTTAAGAGAACCTACTAAGTCTTACGATCAAAAGCAAAATTGAGCGGACATCTCAATATTTATTTATTTGCTTTTTTTTATTTCATGCTTTTTATTATTTTAATATTTTGTATTGCCCCCTATGAGGGAAGCATTAGCTTTCATAACAATTTTGTCCCCTCCCTTGCAAAAGTCAGTACTACCTGAGGAGGACACTCGTTTATTGCACCTCCTAAGTGTCTCATTTCTTTTTTCCGAGCCTCAAGCTCAGTTACCAGAAAACCGCCAAGCTAAGAACAGCATTTTCGATTTGCAAAATTATTATACATTAATTAAATACATACTTAGGTCGAAACTCTGTTGTATTTATTTAGCAAATAAATATTCAATAGGTTATGGGCCCAGCACGCTTCCACTGCGCCTAAGTGTATTTTATTAAAGCCAAGCTAGGCATCCGCGTATAATAATATATCCGCGTTTTATAAAACGTCGCGCTACGTGTGTAACTTATGTGAAGTGTAACAAATTAAGCAGCCATTATGGAAAGGAATTCTGCTGATCTCACAAAGCTCGATGAATCAAACTACCCACTGTGGACGTTTGGCGTTTCCATCATTCTTAATGCGAAAGACCGCGTCGAATTCATAGAGGGCACAACGGTGGAACCAGATAAAGAAATGAAATTAAGTGAATGGCAGAATGGAAGAAAGCTTCTCCACGAGTAAAAATGATAATACTTAGTCTGATCGAGAAAAGTCTATATTTAAACCTGATGAATTCTACGACTACACAGCAAATGTAGGATAAATTAAGAAATTTATACGGTGACTGTACTGGAGACGCGACACAAAATGCATAGGAGCAGTTTTACACGTTTCGCATAAACGATGGTGAATTGTGCAAATTGAAAAATTTGAGTGCATATGCAAGAAGCTCGCAGATGTGAATGATTCTCCATCGGAAGCAGTAGCGGTGTCAAAATTATTAAGCAGCTTGCCGTCAAAATTCTCACCTTTTCGAACGGCATGGAAATGTACTCCAAAAGCAGACAGAAAATAGGAAAATCTGATTACATGATTAATCCGAGAAGAAATCGTCTGTGCGAAGTCGAAGATAGTGCGTTATCATTAGCTCTTCAAATTCATGCTCTTGGCGTGAAGAAAAACGAAAACGGTGACTTTAGAAAAGGCGCTACAGCAAAATCTGCGAGTAAGAAATACATAGAAGAATTGAAAAAGCGAACAAAATGCGCATATTGTAATCAGAAGGAACTCTGGGTTCGAGAGTGTCCGAAGAAATCAGCGGGAGAGAAAAATTCGAGAGAGGCCCAAGCTAACTATCCTTCGAAAGTGGCGAGCGCATACATCTGCGATGTTACTGCGTTCCACTCAGGTACTTCCGATGAAGACCAGAATGAATGGATAGCAGACTCGGGCGCAAGCAAGCACATAATGCACAGAAGGGACTACTTCTCCTCTCTCAAGCCGCTCGGTGAAGGTTACTCCGTAAAAATTGCCGATGACAAAACTTTACCTGCTGTCGGCATCGGCACCGTTATAATCAACGAAAAGGTAAACAGTCAGTTTAAAGAGAGGGAACTGCAAGACGTGCTGTTTCTGCCAAACTTGAAACGAAATTTATTTTCAATCCCTAAAATAAATGACAAAATGTTTTCCTTTCATGCTTACGAAAGGAAATGTGAAGTATGCGATAGTTATCGCAAATTATCGTCGATCGGAGTTCGGCAGGGTAAACTTTTCAAAATGCTGTTTGAGGTGAAATTACCAGTCGAGTGCAATGTGGCCCAAGCAAATTCAGAAAGGAATATGCTCTGACATGAGCGAATGGGACACATCAATATACGTGCATTAATAAATATCAGTAAAATTATGGGTATTAAAGATTTTTCTATTGGAAAGGAAAACTTGTTCTGTGATACGTGTGTGATAGGAAAGCAAACCCGTAAATCCCATGCATCAGTTAAACATACGAGCGTGTTCAAGCCTGGTGAGAAAATTCATAGTGATGTTTGTGATCCAATCAATATTGAGTCACCGACAGGATCTAGATATTTTTTGCTATTTAAAGATAACTTCACAAGTTTCAGAAAAGTATACTTTTTGAGGTACAAGTCGGAAGTGCTCGAGAAATTCATAGAGTCCGAAAGTTTTGTGCATACTCAAACAAGAAATAAAGTGAAAGTTTTGCGGTCGGACAATGGTTCAGAATACACAACAGCAAATTTTTCTAAGCATATGAAAAATAAAGGTATCATTCAAAAGTTTTCGTCACCGTATACAAGATGTTCGGCCATCCCTGGGAAAAATTTTAATGGGAGATTCTAAGGGCCAAAATAAGACGAAAATCAAGAATACCAATTTGTTGATCGAGGCTATGTTAAAAAGTTATTAACGTTTAAAGTTGCGCCTCTAAAACGGAAATCTGCGAACAGCTGCGTACGCGTGATAGTGATTCGTATCCTACTTGTATTATTAAAAAAGCATGCTATTCTACAATATAATCCGACTATTTTTATAACGCGTTATTTTTGAATGGTTGCTGTCTTAATTATGTATTAATGTTACGCAGCTAGAGAAACGATAGAATAGAAACCGCTCCATAATTGTTTCTGTGTATATTTTAGGTGAAAATATTTTTTAAATATTTTAAATAGATTTTCATTGTTATAGTTGAAAATTGGAAAAATATACACAGTATGTCGGAAAAATAACGGAATTTGTTAAATTTAATGAAAACTGCTGATGCCATGTATTGAAACAATATGTAACCTAAAGTTGTATATTTCCTCTACAAAACAAAAGCATCATTATTGGAATCGGCTAACAAATTATCAAGTTATAACGGTTAAAGTGGCAGTACCTTTTGTCACTTCGTCACAGAAATAATGGAACAAAGAGCAAATATTAAATTTTGTTTCAAGCTCGGGAAAACTTTTACAGAAACATTTGAATTGATGAAAAAAGTTTATGGTGATGATTGTTTATCCCGTACACGTGTGTTCGAATGGTATAAACGATTCTAGGACGGTCGTGATGCTTTGGAAGATGACCCATAGCCAGACCGGCCAAAAAAGAAAAATCGCAATGAGTAGGTGGAACAAGTGCGTGAAATGATTACCTACGATGCGACTTCAAGTATGAGATGGATGGCAGAGGTATTAAATACGACTAAATACATGATTCATGAAATTTTGACAAAGGACTTAAACAAACGAAAAGTTTGTGCTCGATATGTTCCTCACACATTAAATGAGGACAAACAGATTGCTCGCGTTGAACATTGCAAGGATCTTATTAAAACAGCCAGACGGAACTGCACATTCCTGGAATCGATTGTGACTGGAGACGAAACTTGGTGCTTCAAGTACGATCCACAAACAAAGCACCAAAGTGCAACGTGGAAGTCCCCAGACTCTCTGAAATCGAAAAAATTGCGATTTCAGAAGTCACGAGAGAAGACAATGTTGATCTGTTTTTATGATTCTAAAGGTATTATACTTCGGAAATTCGAGCCACGGGGTCAAAATGTCAATGGTGAATATTATCTGGGTGTTATGGAGCGTTTGTGGAAAAAAATCGTTCGAGTTAGGCCCGAATATCGAGCGCCAGGAAGTTGGTTTTTGTTGCGCGATAATGCACCATCGCACAGGAATGTCCTTGTTCGTGAATTTTTGGTGAAAAAAC